GCTGGATGTCCATCTCTTGGGGGTGTTTTGATTGTGTTTCTCCTGCATGGCAGAAGGGAGTTGAACTGGATGGCCCCTGGGTTTTTGCTATCATTATTATTATTATGACAAAGACTGGCCATCTCTTGGAGATGCTTTAATTGTGTTTTTCCTGCATGGCAGAAGGGAGTTGAACTGGATGGCCCCTGGGGTTTCTATTATTATTATTATTATTATTATTATTATTATTATTATGACAAAGACTCTGCAGATCCCAGTAAGATGGTCTTTTACAGCTGGCAAATACGTGCCATAGATGTGAGCGAAATGTCAGAAGAGAATGCTTCTTGGACATGGCCGGACAACCCGGAAAACTCACAGCAACCCACTGATTCTGGCTGTGAAAACCTTCGACAAGACATTGAACAAGAGCATCCAAACACCCCCAAAGGAACTTTTCCAAGCTGTGGTTTGGCCTCCTCATTATCCAGGATCGTCAGTGGTGAAACCAAGTGGAGACAAAGAAAGTTAAGAACATGACAACGTACAGCTTTGAACATAAAACGCAGACTGAGAAGACACAGGGAAGGCATCCCTCCAAAGTTACTCTGGCCCTCTGAAATAACCAACATGGAAACAGGGAAGGACACACATGCAATGATATGACAAATGGACATCACGGGGTCCTATGATCTTATAATGGCGTTCTTTAGGCATAGTTTGGATGGATTCCTTGGATTCCTTCCTGGAAGTCGGACTAGATGACCCTTGGAGAACCTTTCTATGCTATGAAGCTAAAGGGCCTCCTTTTGTATAGAATTGTAGAGTTGGAAGGGGTCTCAAAGGCCATCTAGTCCACCCTCCAATGCAGGATCTTTGGCTAAAGCATCCCCAGAAGGGGCCGGATTCTTTTGGAAGATGTCTAGTGAAGGAAAAAAGGGGTGGAAGGGAGGGAAAGAAAGAAAGAAGGAAGGAAGGAAGGAAATAGGCAAGGAAGGAAGGATGAAAGTGTGGAAGGAAGGAAGGGAAGGAAGGAGGGAAGAGGGAAGGATGAAAAGGTGGAAGGGAAGAAAGGAAAGAAGGAAGGAAGGAGAAAGGGAGAGCAGGAAGGAGGAAGGAAAGAGGGAAGGAAGGATGAAAGAGTGGAAGGATGGATGGAAGGAAGGTAAGGAAGGAAGGAGGAAAGAGGGAAGGAAGGATGAAAGGGTGGAATGGAAGGGAGGAAGGAAGGAAGCAGAAAGGGAGAGCAGGAAGGAGGGAGGAAAAGAGGGAAGGAAGAGGAAGGGGAAGGATGGATGGAAGGAAGGGAGGAAGAATAGAAAAGGAAGAAAGTGGAGAAAGAGGAAAGGAAAGAAAATGGGGGGAAGGAAGAGAAGGAAGGAAGGAAGGAAGGAAGGAAGGAAGGAAGGAAGGAAGGAAGGAAGGAAGAAGGGAGGAAGTGAGTGAGTGAGGGAGATTGGAATAGATGGAAGGGGGATTGGACTAGATGCTTTTTGGGGTTCCCTTCCCACTTTGGGACTCTATGATGGAATAAACAGAAGTGGGGTGGATGAAAGGGGAAGAGAAGAGGAGGGGGAGAAAGAAGGGAAGGAAGGGAGGGGGGAAAGGAGGAGGAAAGAAGGGAAGAAGGGAAGAAGGAAAAAGGGGAAGGAAGAGAAGGGGAGGGGAGGGGAGGGAGGAAGGAAGGAAGGAAGGAAGGAGAAAGAGAGGGAAGGAGGGGGGAGGAAAGAGGGAAGGAAAGACAAAAGGGTGGAAGGGAAAGATGGAAGGAAGGAAGGAAGGAAGGAGGGAGGGAGGAAAGAGGGAAGGAAGGAAGAAAAAAGGGTGGAAGGGAAAGATGGATAGGTGGATAGAAGGAAGGAAGGAAGGAAGGAAGGAAGGAAGGAAGGAAGGAAGGAAGGAGAAAGAGAGAGGGGGACATAAGAGTGAAGTAAGGGCAAAAGAGTGGAAGGGAAGGGAAGGGGTGGGGAGGGGAGGGGAGGGGAGAGAAGGGATGGATGGAAGGAAGGAAGGAAGGAGAAAGAATGAGAGGGAAAGAGGGGGGAGGAAAGAGGAAAGGAAGGAAAGACAAAAGGATGGAAGGGAAAGGATGGATGGATGGATGGAAGGAAGGAAGGAAGGAAGGAAGGAAGGAAGGAAGGAAGGAGGGAGGGAGGGAGGAAAGAGGGAAGGAAGGAAGAAAAAAGGGTGGAAGGGAAAGATGGATAGGTGGATAGAAGGAAGGAAAGGAAGGAAGGAAGGAAGGAAGGAAGGAAGGAGAAAGAGAGAGGGGGACGTAAGAGTGAAGTAAGGGCAAAAGAGTGGAAGGGAAGGGAAGGGGTGGGGAGGGGAGGGGAGGGGAGAGAAGGGATGGATGGAAGGAAGGAAGGAAGGAAGGAAGGAGAAAGAGAGAGGGGGACATAAGAGTGAAAAGAGTGGAAGGGAAGGGAAGGAAAGGGGTGGGGAGGGGAGGGGAGGGGAGAGAAGGGATGGAAGGAAGGAAGGAAGGAAGGAAGGAAGGAAGGAAGGAAGGAAGGAAGGAAGGAAGGAAGGAGAAAGAAAGAGAGGGAAGGAGGGGGGAGGAAAGAGGAAAGGAAGGAAAGACAAAAGGGTGGAAGGGAAAGATGGATGGAAGGAAGGAAGGAAGGAAGGAAGGAGAAAGAGAGAGGGGGACATAAGAGTGAAGTAAGGGCAAAAGAGTGAAGGGAAGGGAAGGGAAGGGGTGGAGAGGGGAGGGGAGAGAAGGGATGGAAGGAAGGAAGGAAGGAAGGAAGGAAGGAAGGAAGGAAGGAAGGAAGGAAGGAGAAGAAAGAGAGGGAAGGAGGGGGGAGGAAAGAGGAAAGGAAGGAAAGACAAAAGGGTGGAAGGGAAAGATGGATGGATGGATGGAAGGAGGAAGGAAGGAAGGAAGGAAGGAAGGAAGGAAGGAAGGAAGAAAGGAAGGAAGGAGAAAGAGAGAGGGGGATGTAAGAGTGAAGTAAGGGCAAAAGAGTGGAAGGGAAGGGAAGGGGTGGGGAGGGGAGGGGAGGGGAGGGGAGAGAAGGGATGGATGGAAGGAAGGAAGGAAGGAAGGAAGGAGAAAGAGAGAGGGGGACATAAGAGTGAAGTAAGGGCAAAAGAGTGGAAGGGAAGGGAAGGAAAGGGGTGGGGAGGGGAGGGGAGGGGAGAGAAGGGATGGATGGAAGGAAGGAAGGAAGGAAGGAAGGAAGGAAGGAAGGAAGGAAGGAAGGAGAAAGAAAGAGAGGGAAGGAGGGGGGAGGAAAGAGGAAAGGAAGGAAAGACAAAAGGGTGGAAGGGAAAGATGGATGGAAGGAAGGAAGGAAGGAAGGAAGGAAGGAAGGAAGGAAGGAAGGAAGGAAGGAAGGAAGGAGAAAGAGAGGGGAAAGAGGAAGGAAAGAGGGAAGGAAGGACAAAATGGTGGAAGGGAAGATGAAGGAAGGAAGGAAGGAAGAGGAAGGAAGGAAGGAAGGAAGGAAGGAAGAAAGGAAGGAAGGAAGGAGAAAGAGAGAGGGGGACGTAAGAGTGAAGTAAGGGCAA